ATTACCGCTAGGCCCGTTTAGTAGTTCGGGTAAAAGATACTTCCGCCGACTCTTCTAGAACACGTTTAGTCGAGATACTAAACGCGTCTCGTGCCGAGTCGTTTTGGTGTTACCCGGTGGGCCGAGTATATTGTCATGCTGGGCTAAGTTTCCCTCCTTTGATGGGCCTTGTGGAGGGGTATAACCCATCTCCTACAGTTAAGCAGACGAATTGAAAGAAAAAAAAAACAAGCATAAGATTCTATCTCATTCGAAGTTTTCTTTTGGTGTTTTGATTACAACCTGATTGTCTGTGGATACTGGTAAGTCACGGTTTGCGGTTGTAGCTGAGGAGTCAGCGCTACCACCGGTAAACTGTGAAACAGCTTCAACGATCTTGGAGGATACTTGACCTTTATTCTCCTCCAAACCGTGCAGAAGAGATTTGGAGATTTGGGTCCATCCATGCTAAAACCCTCTTTCCTCCCACCTGCTTCTCAGACACTCCCGCTCTCACCTGATGGAGATGTATCCTTCGTCCTGATACTGTTATGATCATCCAGTGTTGCGAGGGGATCCTGAAGTTGAAGACTACTTCAATAAAGCTTACGGACCTGACCACTCTGCTCGAATTTCAAAGGCTCTCACGTATTTACCTTTCCTATCATTCCTCTTTTGATGCATTTCTGCTTCTACATTGCCTTGTAGTTTATTCAGTCCTTAGATTTCTCCTAAATCAAAGTTGATTTGCTTTACTTTTCGTTCTTGTGTGCATATTACCCATCTGCTAGATTGTGCGAGCTTATGTACATATGTTCCAACATGTTTGGTGACACTACGGATCATACTCTTAGGTTTTTGTATGTGAGTTTTTTTCTCAAATTGATAACTTGTGAGTTCTGTTCCCTCACATTAACAGATTTCGTTCCTGTTGGTTGGTTGTGTAGCTCGTTGCACGAGTTCGCATTTCATTTTCCTGAGTTTGTCTTCCTTTTTACATAGTAAAACCATTAAAAGAAAGCCCTCACTTTTTCTCTAGTGTTGCAACATTTTTTTTTTGC